GATTGTGATGTCCAGTGTTTGTCGTCGTGAGTAGTAAGAAGTAGTTCCCTCAATATGTTTCTACAGGTAAGATCGCCGGGCTGGATGTGCTATCTATGATCAACGAGCCCACAGCCGCGGCGATTGCCTACGGCCTGGAGAAGGAAAAGGGCATCACCTCCGCCAAGACCGTGTTCATCTACGACCTGGGCGGCGGGACCTTCGACGTGTCCGTGATGAAGATCAGCGGCAGCTCCTTCCAGGTCCTGGCCTCGGGGGGCGACACCCACCTGGGCGGCCAGGATTTCGACGTGCTTCTCCTCGAGCACTGCCTCGAGGTGAGATACAACAGTGAAAGTCCCTCGTACGGTCTTATTTGAAACATGTGGATCTGTAGTTTCGTTTCGGATGTTTGTGGGCAGCTTGAATAATAGTCGATATTTTCAGTTGTGTAAGCAAAATTACTAGAGCTGTTAACCAAATGCAGAGCGTTTGTGCTAGTTTTATCGGGCAAGCCCACGCTTGTGATATTTTGAAACCCTCTCTTTAACGGTTTTTTTCTTCTTCTCAGGACTTGAAGAAAACGTTGACTGCGTCCAAGGTCAAAAAGTTGATGGAGGACAAGCAGGCGCTTCAGGACCTCCGTAAGGCCTGCGAGCTCGCCAAGCGCAAGCTGTCTAACATGCCCCAGGCGCCAATCTCAGTCTTTTTTTCCCGGTTGAGCAAGGCGTATCAGACTACCATTACGAGGGCCTTCTTCGAAAACTTGTGCACCGCGTTGTTTAAGAAGACCATCCAGGTCAGCGAACAGGTGCTGGCCGATGCAAAGGTAAGGACATATATCATTCGACCTCACCTTTTTCACTCTTGGCCTTGTTCACGTCGGTGACGTGTGTCTGGTCCGCAGGTGTCGAGCGCTGAGGTGCACGACGTGGTGCTTGTAGGCGGCTCCACCCGCATCCCCAAGGTGCGCGCGCTGCTCCGGGACATGTTCGGTGGCAAGGAGCTGCGCCAGTCTATCAACCCGGACGAGGCCGTGGCGCACGGCGCGGCGGTGCACGCCGCCGTGCTGACCGGCGACAAGTTCTTCGACGGGATGGTCCAGCTCAGGGACGTGACGCCCCTCTCCTTGGGCGTATGTGTGCATGGCGTGAAATTCAGCTGCGTCATTGAGAAGAACACGCCTATCCCTTGCAAGAACACACGGACGTACCGTACCGTTAAAGACTGTCAGTCGGAGCTGCGATCAGGGGTGAGCCAGTCTATGCGTATAAAAACTAGTGACCATCTTGTTGGTTTTCTACCCTCGGTGCGTATTCGTTGTCATCCGTCATTTTGTTCTTACCTCGTTGTCTTGTCGCCAGATATACCAAGGAGAGAGGCCCCTAGTGAAGGACAACTATTACCTAAACAAGGACTACCGGATAGCAGTTCCCGAATTACCCGCGGGGCAGGCAGAGATCAGTGTGACTTTCGAGATCGACGAGAGCGGTCTGCTGACGGTGACGTGCGTTGAGCCGACCTCCGGGCGCCAGGTGCAGGTCAAAATCACGCAACAGGAGGCGCACCTCAGCGAGGCGGACATGCGGGCCATGATCGAGAAGGCCAGGCGCCTGAGACGCGAGGATCAGGACGCTCTACGGGAGGTCGATGAGGACATCCGGAGGAAACGCCAACGCCTGGTGTAGACAT